TAAATATTTTATTTGTAATAATTTTAAAATATATAAATTTATCAAATATTTAAATTTAGCGATTTAAATAAAACAATTAATCGCTATCTCAAAACTATTATATCAAATGAAACCTATATATATAACTAATAGCTGATGTTTTCAGTACAAATAAATCTTGAGTTTTCCCTTTTTTCTTTTTGGCATTGAAAATATATGTTGAAACGCAATGAAATTTTATATGAATATTTTAGTTAATCAGGGGATTCTTCTTTATTACGTTTCCCTTTAAAAAAACAAAAGAATCCCTATAAGACATAGGAATGAATGCGAAAGGAACCCTCTAGGAACTCTCCAAGTTGAGGAAACTTCCCTGGTATGAAATCAAGAAATTTATGACCAAGAATAAAACAAAAAAAATGAAATTCGATGGAAAAAACCTAAAGCTAAGAGATTGCATATCTTATCCCTCTTTCTTTTGAATTTTTTTTTTAATTTTTTAACTCATAAAGTAAGATATATTAATTATCTATTTTTACCATAAACAGAAGAGAATTCCTCGTTGTAAGTGGGAATCCAAGAAGGGAAAGGCAATCTTCTTTTCTACAAGTGCAACGCGGGTTGTTGTTCCTTTTCTTGCGTGCTCTGACAATTAATTACTCTTCTTATTTTATTTAATATTTTTAATTTTATTTTTAATTTTAAATATAAATTTTATATAAAAATTTAATCATTTATATAAATAATAATTAAAGTTTTTGATATTTTATTCTTTTTAAATATTTTTAATTGATTAAAAAATTTAAAAATCATTTGTAAAACATATTAAATTTTCATATAAAATTCATATATAAAAAGCCAAAAAATTAAATTAGAACTGTCAAAATTAAATGGATATAGGTTATAATGATATCTCATATTGTAATTTTATAATATTAATTGACATTGTCACTATGTATATCATTTTAAAATTTACAATTTACTTCATTTGTCTTAAAATAATTGTTATTTTTTTATTTTAAATTTATACAAAATTAATTTTTATTTTGTTATAATGATATCTCATATTGTAATTTTATAATATTAATTGACATTGTCACTATGTATATGTCATTTTAAAATTTACAATCTACTTCATTTGTCTTGAAAT